TTTTTTTTTATTTCCAGGAACATATCGTTGGGTACAGGATCGACTACAGCCCGTATTGGTGCTATTGTTGCACCTTTCTTTGTCATGATGGTAAGATGCTTGCAGGTGGATCAAGGATATTATTCAGTCACAGCCAACCAACCATACAACCAACTAACCAACCAACCAGCCAACCAAACAGCCAGCCAGCCAGGCAACAGTCCAACCAACCAACCAACCAAACAACCAACCAACCAACCAACAAACATGCAAACAACCAACCAACCAATCAATTTGTGCAACCAACCAACTAGCCAACCAAAAATCCAATCAATTAACTAACCACCCATACTCCATTTCTCGATCCCAACCCTCTCACCCAAAGAAACCCATGGCCCTAGAAATGCATGAYTAGTGTAGTGTGATTGAAGGATGTTATTAATATACGTTTTTTTGTTTTTCAAGGCCCAGCTTCCTAACATMTCCCTCATTGTTCCGTTGTGTTTATTCGGAGGTTTTGCGATGGTTGCAGCGCTTTTGTCMTTAATGTTACCAGAGACATTGTTCAAAAACATGGAGCAGACAATCGAAGAGGCAGAAAAAGTCGAACTTGACTACAACATTCCTTGTTGTGGAAGGAAACGCGCAAGGGATTGTATTATTAACGAAGAGGAAAAACATGAACTAAAAACTACTGAAATGTAGACAAATCTACTTTGCCGAAATCATCGGAATTAAAGTCACCCATAACAAACAGCACGATGTTTACATTTCCTTCTCATTTACCTTAAGGATAATGACGTACCTCGTTAGAAATCTTAAACAGAGTATTCTTGGTTTTCATGTGACGTCACCAAAAGTCTCTAATATGAATCGTGGGCCGTTCTTGAGTAAATATTGCCATCAATAATCCATACTCATTGTAACTTTTGGTCGTGGATTCGATTTTCGCTGTGACAACCTTTTTGAAATATCTATATAATGTTTCACGCAGCACCGTCACGCGGCCAGGAAAATTAAAAATAATTTGATGTGCATTAAAATTATTGTCTCAAATAGAACAATCGCATCAACCCCAAATACAACCCAAAACTTAAGATTTCTGTCGTTGAATTCTTTGAATTCAGCTGCTAGTGAACATTTCATCACCAAACGAAGTTCTCCATATATTTATAAACAGTTTTAAGGCTGTGAAGAAGGTGATTGACTGTAAAATTTTATATCGCACAAGCATTGTTCTCAAAAACAAAACGTTGGGCTATGACTGAAAATAAAAATAAAGTCAAATAAAGTCCCATATGTTTTCTTGCTTTTACTATATATTAGAAGAAACAAAAGATTATTTTACGACATAATTTACTTTTATATGTAATCATATCATAAAAAGAATATTACATGGTCGCTTGAAAATATCTCACTCGTTCGCGTTTCCACGCACCATGTAATATCCTGTCTTTCTCGATTTTCAAAAATAGTAGCCCGACCTTACGCTCTAAGAGCGTCTAGTTTTATTTCAAAGATATTCTGATGAAAGCAGAGCGGAGCAGACATTGCGAGTGACAATGAAGAAATATCGTATTAAATAACGCTTGACCCCTTGCTATAAGACAAAGTTATGTTTATATACATTGACATGCAATACGTGGCTCTATGCACGCTTGTTTATTTCGTGGACTTGTTGGGGGCGCTGGTCCCAGCGTATAAAATTAAGGTAATCAAAAATTCTAAGAAACTCAACGTAAGACATGCACAATGACACGATGTATTATTGGTTGCGTCGTTACAAGGAAATGATGATTGTATAGGAAATCAAAATGTCGATCTGTTCAAAATTGTCACGCAGTATTCACAAGATTTTTCCGAGAAAAGCTTTTCTATACTGAGATGTGTTTTGTCCAACGCCGTGTGAACTAAAGGAATTGAAAGCTAAAACCAATGTTGCTTAGTAATTACATGTCATAATGTCAGATCTTGTAAAAAATTGCATCAAACAATAATGATGCGCCCCGGGACCTTAGTATGATATTCAAACTACTGCTTAGTAAAATACTGCGGTCAATGCATAATGAAAACACTGGCATTACATTGATTAATTGCTATAGCGTGATACAATTTTTTCTTTCTTCTTCAGTAAATACATTATATTACGAGTTGTTACGATGGCCGAACACAGCCCTGAAGAGACATCCCATGTCGCCGAATTTGACGACGTTTTCAAGCAAATTAAATCGTTTGGTCGCTACCAGCAGTATGTTTACTGGACGATGTCACTCGCAGCTCTTCCTAACGATTTTCATTTCCTATGCCTTATTTTTGCTTATGGGGCTCAAATGTTTCAGTGCGTGACACCTAATGTGACATGCGCGGTCAGCAAGTGCTGTGATAATTGCTCGTCGTACTCTTTTAATGAGGACTTCAGCGCAGTCTCAGAGGTATGCCCTTTGATATAGTAACAATGTTGATAATGGAAATACTAGACCTAATTGGCTAACGCGTTGCCATGTACGTTGCCACCCAATTCAAATCCTGTGGAAAAAAGAACTCATGTTGCTAAGAATTCAACTGTGACAAATAAAAATATAACGAACAATAAAACTTACTCCCGGGTGGTTTGAAGTGGATGGAAATGTTTATAACAACGTATTAGCTGTTCGGTCTATGACGATAATTATGGCTATCATGCATGAGGATGGTGCTGATGATGACAGTTAGGCCCTGTTTACATGAGATAGGGTGCCCCTGGTGTAGAGCCAAACTCATTTGTTTTAAATCCTCTAGGGAAAAGAAAAGAAAAGAGTTAGCCATACCACGTAGGGGCACCCTATCTCATGTCAACAGGGTCTAATACTCCAGTTTCGAATTCAAAGCGAATAACCGCTGTTTTATTTGACAGCAGATTCTCTTACGCAAAGAACTTACCAAACACAAAAGAAATCACGAGAAAATGCTGCTTGTACAATAGCGCTAACAATTTAAAGGCTCATACTTTAGGTCTCATGGGAATACAGGGTTAGTCTCAACTCGAGGAAAATGCAAATTTTGAAGTCTATTGTAATAACTACATTTTCTCGTGCTCTCTTTTGTGTTTGGTCAGGTCTTTGCGCAAGGGAATCTGTTGTCAAATAAAGCAGAGGTTTTGCGCTATGAATTCGAAACTGGAGTATAGATATGATCATATGACAATAATTATGACGATGATGACGGATAGAAGAATGAACGATGGACAGAAAGACGGAGCGACAGGAAGATTGGGTTGATGGATGGGAACACAACCGTTATCATGAGCTCAGCTTACCATTTCATATCTCACTTTCGATATTCTTTGTCTAACTAGGACCGCAAAAGAAATAGAGACGAGCAAGCTATTACAGATTAAATACTACGTTCTTTTATAAATAAATAGATAAAAATTAAAGTTTTCATTATTTTTCAGTGGAATCTTATTTGTGACCGAGCATATATCAGTGCTCTAATGCAGTCCACTTTCTTCTGGGGGATGCTTCTTGGCTCGCTTGCTGGTGGATGGATGTCAGACAAATTTGGAAGAAAAAAATGCATTTTTGGAAGTCTTTTGATCATGGTAGGCAAAATTTGTTTAGGCCAGATATACGCTAAATTGACCTATAGGCCGACTTGAAAATATATTATTGAAACATTAAGAGTCAGATTCTACTAAAAACCGGTTGCACTCTGGAATTTGTTTTTTCGCAAATTCTAGCAATATTGCGCAATAACATTGCACAGTATTGAAAGAGTTGTTGAAAAAGTACCACACACGACGAATCATGGAAACGAGAACCAAGACCTTACATCTAAAAAACACCACAAAGATCCCATATATGGCAGTGTGAAAGTTTGAAAGATGTCTTCGTTATTTATGAGAAAACATTCTTGAAAGACACCATGGAAGTTTACGTTACGGAGGCTGGACTTTGAGACTTCGTTTTTTAGGGACTTTACAATAATTACCAGGAGGGAAGGGCCGTAAAACCAGAGGGGGTGCTTTACATAAAATTGATGGCAAGATAGGGGGGCTCAAAGTAAAATTACCTAATTAACAGAGGGGGGGCCTTAAGTTTCATTCAAAATTTTCATAATTTTCGATGTCTCTCAAAAGGCTGGAAATCGCATTTCCAACAAGAGTTATTTATTTCAAAATTTTCTGGGGGAGGTCCAGACTCCCTTAATACTCCCGCCTTTGCCGGTCGTTACACCTCCAGATCCAAAATATGTGTCGCGTTCSCTGACATGTGCATAAAAAGTCCACGCTACGCGCCCGACTAGTGGAAATCTAATTTCAAAGACTAGACTCGCTTGTGCTTGTTTTATAACTAAGGTTAATAGTGGGGAGAGAAAGAAATCTGGTTTTACGGCTCCCCCTCCTGGTAATTATTGCACAGTCCCTTAGTGCTTCGTCCCCAGTGCCCTGATCGACGACCGTGACATATCGCGTCATTTCCGCTGAAAGTTGTGAATATTGTACACTAATAATGCGACTCTCTTTCACTGGAAAAGTTGATCAATTTAAAAATCTATGGAATATATACAGCAAAATTTACAAGATATTTACAGGATGTACAAGAAATTTACAAAGTAAAGGGACATTTTGTGAGAAATGGAATTTACAATATTGATTTATTCAATTGTATTTCAGTCATTAACTTCTCTTGGCACTGTCTTTGTAAACTCTCCAATACATTTATGTATTCTTCAAGTTGCATCTGGTTTTACTGTTGTAGCTGTTATGCTGATAAGCCATACGTTCAGCGTTGAGTTGGTCGGGCCTACAAAGAGAACTAGTGCTGGTATAGCAGTAGTTATTGTTTGGAAGGTGGTCGGAGTGTTCACTTTGTTTTTGGTTTGGCTACTCTCTTACTGGAGACATCTGTTGATTTTTGCCAGCGTAGCGGGATTTCTTCTTCTTCCTCTTTATAAGTAAGTAATGTTGATAATGGCATAACTTACAATGAAGTCTCAGACTTCAAGTACATCAAGGGATGGCGAGAGTTCGAGAAGCAATCTAGCGCTTTTGAATATATCACTTCAGTCGGATTTCGATCTGAAAATGAGGAATGTCGGGTCAATAAGATAACTTAGGAAGCATATGCCATGTAACTTTGAAAGCGACTGCTAAACTGGTAAATCATATTTACAATTTTGCAGCAGTTTCTCTCTCAAAAGTACGGTAGATTGGTTTAGATGATTCAGTTTGTTGTTCTCGAAAGTTGTGATTACTAAATCCATGATACTGTTGATGATGTGTTAAGAATCCTTCCCGAGTCACCTCGCTGGCTTGTCGCTAATGGTCAACTGGACGAAGCAGAAGCTGTCCTCGTGAAATTCGGAGCAAAACACAGGAAGACTTTGGACAGGCTGCAACTAAGGGCAACATTGGAAAAGGTCAGGGAAGCACAGCACAAACGACAAACATATCATGTGGTTGAGATGGTCAGGACACCACGAATGCGGAAGTTTACAATAGTCGTTTGTTTTAACTGGTAATTACATAAACATCCACACTCGCATTTTACGATGCAGGACTGGACTCTAATGGAGCTACAATCGCTGCCAAAATACTTGGACCATTTGAGTGATTTCTCATATTTTAAGCAGACACTTTTATCTCCCCTGCCCCCCCCCCCCCYCCCCCCTAAATGCAATAATGTCAATGAGCATGTTACATAGCGCACAAACATCCAGAACAAGATCCAAAATTGATGAAATGGGGAATGGAATTGTTGAGTTTCGCGATCTCTTTTACGCTGTGACAGCCTATCAATTGTGTGCTGAAATATTCAGAAATGTAGATAAAACTCGTGAGATTTCCATTGTCTTCTATACTCACAGATCTCATGCATTTGCACGGGCTGTTAGTGAATAAAAGAATTTATTACATGTTTTTGCTAAAAGGATTTATTGTGAAAAAGTACAGGAGAAAATGTTGGTCTGGAAACAATTAATTCAATGTTCTAAGGTCTTTTGACAAAGATTGTATAGCACATTCATATCTCTCGATCCTCCGCAGCCTCTTAAAATTTACTGTTTCTTTTTCTCGGAAAATATGAAGGCCTATTTCACAGTTTCATGCTCTACTACCTTTCGCCAAGTCGTCTTTGATTTGGCCAGGCAAATATAGAAAAGCTCCATAAGGGAATTTCGGGAGGAAAGCCTTTTCCACAGCTAGTACTGTTGCTTCCTTTGCATTTGGTCGACCCTTCAGAATTCGTGTACAGTGATTTCATGTATTGTTTTTTTAACGTGTAGGTTTGTTGTGTCTCTGGTGTTTTTTGCTATGTATTTGTACGTAACCAGGCTGTTTGGCAATGTCTACATCAACACAGGAATCATGAATCTTACCGATTTGCCTGCACAAGCTCTGATGTGGCTGTCTATTGATCGGTAAGTTAATTTTTATAACCTAATATACTTTACAGCATGTCCATTGTTCGTAACTGGATCTCATTGAGAAAGAGTCCCAACCCCACAGAAGACTGATCTACGAGGACCAGAACGCTGAGTATCTATTAGCATTACTCCTGTCAATCAAAACCCTCACCGAATTGCTTTCAAGACCACTCACTAAAAATCAACTGAACTGCTAGCTTACACGAATTAACAGTTAACTGGGTCTATAGGAAATAGTTTATGGTGAAATACGAGTTTTGATTGGCGGTAGCCATAAAAAAGGATGTCTAGCGTTGTACACATAGACACTTAGAGAGCAAATTACTTTGAAGTGAACTCTGCACGCTAAAATCAATGTATTTTAAATGTTGTAAATCTTAATTTATTCTCGAAGGCATAATGGCAGTCACGTATCATGGACGAAGCTAACCATTTAAAAAAAAGAAGGATTTGTTTATTATTTGTAATTTCAGTTTCGGGCGTCGTATCACCTATAGTACCATCATAGCCCTTTGTGGAGTAATTCTCATTGTATTGCCCTTTGTTCAAGAAGGTAAGTATATAGGTAATAGCATGTTTTGTAGTGGTATTTGGGATAAATACCACGCATGATATTTCAAAATTGTCAAACAAATTAAATTTCACGAGCGAAGAGAGTGAAATTTGTGACAAATTTTGAAATATCAAAAACATAGTGCTATTACTTGTTTATAAAATGGTTGAATAAAATTGTGCAATTTGAAATACCACTATTAAGGATAAATACCACTCCTCTAAGCCAATCAAATTGCACAATTTTATTCAACCATATCATACAACAATTAATCGAACTATTGTTAGTCCAGTTGCATTGGTAAAGCGGGAGGTTAGGTTTCGCTTTCTTTTTTTCTCCACCTGCAAATGGTTCAATCATCACATGTTCTCGGATAAGGAGGTGTGTTCGCCTTCCCACAGTTCATTCTTAACCTATATAGGGGTGATATAGACGTAAACTACTGAGTATACATATAAAAAACTCTGCATGTGTCTCCCTTTAATGGCTACCCGACATTAACATTACTGACTCAAACGAGATCGTCGCCGGAGTCTAGCTCATTATGGCCAAAACCTGCCCATTGGACCAAAGCTGAAAAAATACGTTGTCTTGTTTCAGGCTCCCCAAAGGTTGGGACAGCGCTTGCAATTGCAGGAAAGTGTTTGATGGGAGCTGAGTTTACATTGATATATCTATTCACAACCGAGTTGTTTCCAACAGTGATAAGGTAACTAGCAAAATCATTCCCAAACATATTTTTTTAACACAACACTTGCTATTCGTCAAAGAAATACTTCAGGAAAGTTGTCCTTCGTTTAGCAGCCATATATGGTAATCTTACCTTATTTGGAATTGTACGCGTCTCGACTGGTTTTTGGTCATTTTCTCGACTTTTAAAGGTTCAAATTGTCTGAAACTTGCAGATATTTTAGCGAAAACACTGAGCAATCGGCCATTTTGTTTGTTCCCATATATGGCATGGATTCGCTAAAGGAAGCCCAAAACTAAAAATGCAAAGTGATCCCGCACGAATGACATTTCGTATTACTAGTACACCGGCATTTGAAATGTAAAAAAAAGTTGAGTAACGGACGTTGAATATGACCATTTCATTGATTCTTAAAGGTTCCAATAAATTTAAGTTTCAATATATATTACTCACATTTTCAAAGTACTTGATTTGGCATGCATTCTATTCAAATCTGGCATACATGTAAACATTATTTTAATTCACTTAGCATTTGTTCGACCTATGCATCATCAATGCCATTATTCAACAGTCATTTTTTTTTAATTTAAGAAACATATCTTTGGGTATGGGATCGACTACAGCCCGTATTGGTGCCATAGTTGCGCCTTTCTTTGTTATGATGGTAAGATACCATGCATGTAGCTTAAAGATGCTAATAAGGGCGTCATTGGTCAATTACCGGTTACCTATAAATCAGATAAAAGCCATGTCAATTACTAACTCTACTAACCAACCAACCAACCAACCAACCAACCAACCAACCAACAAACAAACCAACCAACCAACCAGCCAATCAATCAACCAAACTAGCAAGCTAGTAAATGATCGACTACTAAGATTTAACTTAAAAATTTTATTTTTTCAAGGCTCAGCTTCCTAACATCTCCCTCATTGTTCCGTTGTGTTTATTCGGAGGTCTTGCGATGGCTGCAGCGCTCCTGTCTTTAATGTTACCAGAGACATTGTTCAAAAACATGGAGCAGACAGTCGAAGAAGCAGAAAAAGTCGAGCTTGACTACAACATTCCTTGTTGTGGAAAAAAACACGCAAAATATATTATGAATGAAGAGGAAGGGAACCGTGGACAAAAAACAACTGAAATGTAGGCAAATTGACACTGGAACTCATTGGAAAAAAACATTAAAATAATAAAATGCTTTGAGAAGCCGGACCATAGGCCGCCCAACTATTGCTTTAGAGGCTTAAAAGAACGAATGTGCGCACGCTTTCGAAATGTATATCGGCGCACGCTCTTAGCAAAATTGCGGATTACCTGTGGTACTACGTCACGATCCCTTGCCTCGCGGGTCTACACATTAATCTGTGACAAACTCTAGTATGTACCGTCGAGCATACCAACCAACGTTTATAAGGGAGTCGATCCCCCCGGGGAAACGAAACTTGTTTCGTGCTAAAAGGGCTCATAAGTGCGTT